TTCCAGGATCTCGTAATGAAGAAGGCCCAGAGTGCATATTCCCCGGCCAAATCTGAGACGCCATCGTCGAAAAGATGTCGCCCGGCAGATTCCCCGGCACAACATTGCCAGCTGGCAAAGATATTGCTGACATACTGGAGTCAATCGACCAACGATTGTCCAGTTTCGATGCAAGGCTGTCCTTGGTGGAGATTCTACACCGGGAATTTAAATCCTTGCGAGAATCCCTGGAGTTCAGCCATCAGCAGGTGGAAACGCTCGCTGCTGAAAATGTCATGCCAAGGGAGTCGGTGAATTGTCTCACAGAAAATGTTAAGGCTCTGCTTGTAGATGAAAAATAATGAACTAAAAATCATCATTTAGTGCTTAAAATATCAGAATTACTGACAAGATGTTTAAGGCAGAAGGTACTGTTGGTTGCAGATGGGGCAGTGATTGGTGTTTCCACCCGCATTTACTATAAATCCCTCAAAGTGATCTACAGCTGGCGTACTGCTCAGACTGCATTCTGCTGTGAGATGATTACTGTGAGTCAAAAAGATGCTGTTTGAAATGTCCTTAATTGTTTTGAAGTAGAAACCTCTGTGTGTGTGTCACTGCTACAAAAACAGAATAAAAATAAACTGGGGCACAAACCCAAAAAGCCACAAAAATCTCCTGTGAAACTGTCATGGTCCTGAGTCTGTTGACTCAGTGTTTTGTGTTAATTAATATTATCTTATGTTTTAGTTTATTTTGGTTATGTCTTCTGCAAAGATTTCGAGTTCCTAGGTTTTGGTTCCCATATTTCTTCTGTTCCAGTTCAGTCAGGTCTCTGTGTCAAGCCCGTGTCTCTGAGTCTGTCTCTTTGCATGTGTGTTGAGTTTCCTGTTTTATTGTGAAGGTCCGTGTCTTATGTCAGTGTATTCATTTTTGCGTCCTCCCTGTCTCGTCATGTTCATTAGGTTAAGCCGTGTCTCTCTTCTGTGTGCATTGCAACTTCCTCTTTTCCCTCCCTGTGTACATAGTTGTGTCCAAATTCATAGCCAAACTCCAGTTTCCGGCAATGGTGGCCGCTACTAAGTTTTAATATTACTCTTATTATTCTTTCTGGGTCACAAAATAAACTTTTAACATATTTTCAGGCGAGAATGTAGCTGTGTAAACTTCAAATATCTGCTCGGTTTATCAAGGTATCGCATATTTGCAAAAGTGCTTCGACGTTTTCGGAGAAGTCTGTTACCCACCAGCTCGATAGCTAGCCGAGAGCTCGAGGGTCACTAGAGCCGCAGAGAACGGCACAACTCCCGGCACATCATTTGCAGATCACCGTGGACTTTCGCTACTCAGGTTAAACGTAATATATAAGTCACTTAGACAACCTAAAAATGTTATTGTTGGGCTTTTTTCAGTGTTTTATTTGTTCGTGAGTAAATCGGTTTGCTGAGATTAAAGTTATTAGATTAGATTAGATTAGATTAAATAAAACTTTATTAATCCCCCGGGTGGGTTCCTCCTTGGTTTTCACACAGCTGAATAAACATCAAACAGAAAACTGATTAAACAGAACTGTGAGATGGTCGAGAATTTACGCCAGTGTCCTCTTACATTTTAGATAGCAAGGAGCAGACGGCCGAGTTTATTAAACTCCACCGAGACAGCGGTGACGCTAATCAGAAGGCTAGAGCGTCCAATTTCCCCAGCCGTTTACTTCCGGTCTACCTCCTGAGGACCCGGCCCACGTAGAATGCGAAGGCTGGGTCCTCATGTGTCCCATGAATTTGGACACAGCTACCGTGTGTGCGACCGTGGCTCAGGGGGTTGGGAAGCGCATCTGTAACCGAAAGGTTGCTGGTGCGATCTCTGTCGTGGTCGTTGTGTCCTTGGGCAAGACACTTAACCCTACAGCCTACTGATATGGCAGCCTCGCTTCTGTCAGTCTGCCCCAGGGCAGCTGTGGCTACAACTGTAGCTTGCCTCCACCAGTATGTTAATGTGAGAGTGAATGAATTGTAAAGTGCTTTGGGTGCCTTTAAAAGCGCTATATAAATGCAATCCATTATTATTATTATTCTTT